TTGAGAGCCAGGGTGAGTGGACTGCACTGTATCATTGGTTTTGGGGGTCCAAGCTAGGGGTAGGGGGGGATTAAGAACATTCTGCATCACTGGAGATAAAAGTCAGGGAGCCTAAGGAACTAACTCAGACCTGCTCTGGCTGGTGACTTTCGCTCTTCTCTCCATATCATTTATTATTCCTCGATTCACTTATTCATGGCATCGACAGATATTTCCTTAGCACTTTCTGTGTGCCAGGGACTGTGCTAGCTCTGGGAGTATGTAGATGGCAATGCATGAAAAGGTGTGGACGCGTGGATGAGGCCGGCAGGCTTTCTACCCTGCTGTTGTCGCAGTGCCTAGACTGGGGCAAGAGGTGGGTTGTAAACACGCTTTGCCTCTTGGCAAGTCCCCGGGAAGAGACAACCCCACCCACCTCCACCCCTCTCCCCATTGCACCATCTCTTATTTCGGTGGCTCCTGTACCTGGGGCGGGTTTGGAGACAGGGGGACTCCTGGGCCACATGTTTTAGAAAATCTACTTCAGAAGGTCTGGAATAACACCTGGACATCGCAAGTTCTGGAAGCCTAGATAATCGTGACAACGGGCTGAGTTCCCAACTCGTGTCTCGGAACACAATTTCTCCTTCCCCTTCTTGCCTGTTCCCTACTTGGGGACGCACCTAAGTCTTGTCCCCATCAAATGCCACCCTTTCTCTCTCCCTCCTGGCTGACTGTTCCTCCTCTGTAATTGTTTAGCAAATGACACAAAAGTCATTTTGCTGCCGTTCCATAACGACTGCTCATTTCAATTAGCCATCAGAGGCCCGAAATAGAGCTGCGTGGCCCTGCTCGGAGAAATCCCCACCTCTGTTTTGAAATTGGATTGAAGGCAGCAAGGCAGCGGGGGGGGGGGGGGATAAATATTTTATCATTTCTTCCCCCCTGACGCAACGCCCACTTGTCACATGCCTCCCCCCGCCTGCTGGCAGATCGCAGACTGTAAATTCGAGGGGAAACAGTAAACCTGCAAACATGATAAATAAACATGCTGCTTTTACGAGGACGGATGCTACTGTCACCCAGATTTACAGCCCTCCTCGCCTGCCCGCCTTACTGCTTTCTGGGAAACGCTGAGCTGGGTTTCTAGGTTACACGGAGCAACTTCCCGCCCTCCGCCCCGACACGGCTCCGAGTCACTCTCATAGCAAGCATGGACCCTCTCTCTGGAAGCGAATGCATCTTGACAGGTGTTTTCTTTGGGGACAGTTATTTATAGCTGCAGACGCCATCATGCAGTAGGGTGCTTTTGTCTCCTCTCTCACCCTCTCTCGTAACTCTAAAATGGATCATATTTTTGTTTTCCTGGTAGGAAAAAGTGACGGATCAGTGATTTAAATATCTCTCTCCATCTCTGGCTCTCAATCTCTCTCTCTCTCTCTCTGTGTCCTTTCTCTGCCTCTCTCTTTATCTCTCCATGTTCTTCTGTCCCTCCCACCTTTCTGACAGGCTCAGGATTGTCCCCCGGATTCGAACCCAGGCATTATCACCAGCTTCAGTGTCACCCATGTCTGTTACTTAACTTCCCCGAGCCTCCTGCCACCCTCAGGGCTGTGTTTGGTCTCCCACGTTCCTTGTTGCTGATTTAAAAGGTAGAAGTGACACGTTTCTGTGTCGTCTCTATGCGTTCCCTCCCCAATGCCACCCCCCCCAACTAGATGGTGAACTCGTGGGTAACCCAAGAGTCAACCCAACACCTGTCTCCCTCCCACCCCTGCTTCTCTGCCTGGCGGCCTCCATCTCAAAGAACCCCCCTCCCGGGAGCTGCCCAGGCCAGAACCGTGGGGTCGTCCTTGTCCTCTTTGCCACTCCCCTCCACACATCCGGTCTGCCATCGTGTCCTGTGGGTTCTTCCCCCAGCTCTCTCCCCTGTGCACGCCTCTCTCTGACCCCGCAGCCCTCTGCCTCCCATATGTTTGGGTGTCCCCAAAGTGCCCGGCACTGAGCTGATCTCTGAGCACTGTCCCCTCTCACGAGGGTCCCTGCAGTGGTGTCTTCACGGGCTCGAGGCTGCCCCCGCCCCATCCGTCTCTCTCTCCCCCCATACCATAATAGCTAAGGGATGGAGCAGTGGAGCACGTGCCTGCAGATTCTGTTGCTAAGGAAACCACTTCCTTGGTTACCAGCCTGGGTAGGGTTTGTCTCACTAAGTCTGGATCCCACTGAGTCACCCACACTCTCCGGGAAGATGCTGGGGGGGGGGGAGGGCGGCAAGGGAGGGGAGGAAGGGAAGGAGGGAGCCAGAGAGAGAGACGGAGAGCTCAGAGATGGAGAGACATTAGCACAAACAGAAGCAGAAATCAAGAAAGAGATGAAGATGGGATGAGGGAGAGAGGGGGAGGGGGTGAGGAAGAGAGGGAGAGAGAGAGGAGAAGGGCAGAAAGGCAAGAAGGAAAAAGGTTTAATGAGCAGCTGGGGGACATCAGAGAGTCCACAAAGAGGGAAACTGAGAGCAGGAGTCAGGGCAAAGGGAAGTGGGGGACAAAGTGGGGAGGGATGGGGAGAAGAGAAACAGTGAAAGAGAGAAAGGGGAAGGGGAGGGGGCTGGGCCTCTGGCAGGAGGCTGGGTCCCTGCAGGACCTGCCCCTAGTGCCCCCCCACCCCATTTGCTGCCCCTCCCCCACTGTCCATTGGGGTATCTTTGCAGCCATCCCCAGGGTTACTGGAGAATCTGGAAGAAATCCCAGCAACTGGCAGATGCTGCACTCGGCTTGGTCTCTCAAGTCCTGGTGCCGCAGTGAGCCAGAAGCAGCAGCAGGATGAGAGCCCGGGTGTCCCGGCTTCCAGGCCAGGCACCTGCACTGGGGACCACTGGGATCCCAAGCTTTTCTTTCTCTAGTGCAAGGGCCCTGTCACTCTCTGCACTTGGGAGGGACTTTTAGGTCCTTGGAGGAGAGGGCGTGGCCAGACCCAGTTACTGCAGGTCTCTGAGCACTGGTGCTGTCCCTACCCCCAGTTAATAATCTTTGCTCCACCTACCTCATGGGGTGGGAATGACCCAAGTCCTTTTCCAAATTCTTTGTACCACCATCATTTTCCCCAAAAGTGTTCTGATCGCTTACAGAAATCTACCTGGTACCTGGTAAAATGTAAACTGCAGAAACAGGGATTTTTTTTTTACCTGTTTTGTTCTGTTTTGAAATTTCTAGAACCTAGAGCAGGCTCATGGTGGATGCACAGGAAGTAAATGTTGACTGACTGACTGAATGAATGAATGAATGCTACTTTGGTTCCCTCTGGATCTGAAATATACAGATTTTGTTCCAGAGGCTTTGCAAGTGTGACAGGAAGGGCAGGAATCAGCCAAAGCTGGGGCCTCTAAACCGTCTCAGCCTCGCCTCTGGCCCGGGGTGCTTTGACACCAGCCCTGGGTGGGGGTGGGACACCTGTGCCAGGGTGGGACACAAAGTTGTGTAGAGCGCAGGATCTGTGGCACCCGGGGAGGAGGGGAATCCAGGGGGCTTGGGGCTAGATGCTGCATGGGTCCCCGTGCTGCTGCTGGAAGCGTTTTGTTGCACAGACGGCATTTACAGAAGTTGGAGGAAACTGGCACGTTGGTTCAGGGCTCAGCCTGGGACCAGAGTTAAGGCTTGATCTGAGATCAGGGGCGGGCTCGGCGTGCCCAAGGTCAGGACTTACGCAGAGTCAGGAGTGAGGCTCGCTCTCCGCCCGGAATCAGAGATGAGGGCTCAGTTGGGAGATACTGTCAGTATTTGTCCTGGGGCAGGGCAGGGCTCAGCCCAGGACCCAGATTGGAACGTAGCCAGTGGCCAGGGTCAGGGCTCAGTGTAAGCAGGACCAGACTTGGGACTCAGTCCAAGGTGACTCAGTCGGTGTGGGGCTGGGATAAGAGATCAGCGTGAGATCAGGATCAGGATGTGCCCAGGATCAGGGCTCTGTGATCAGGATTAGAGCTTAATGGTGGCCCAGGTTCAAGGCTCTGGGATTGGGCTCAAACTGTGACCAGGTCAGACTTGGCTTAATATTGGGGTCAGACCACAGCCCAGTCCGTCATCACAGAATCATTTCTATGCACCAGCACGGAGCCCCAGAGGAGAGAGACCCTGCCCTCAGTGGCACGGGGCTCCTGTCTTCCTAGCTTCCCCCGGACAGGAAGAAGCCCTCCCTCTCCTCCCTCTGCGTGTCCCAGCTCCCCTCCCCCATACTGTCTATGTGGCAGTATACAAAACCTTGTCCCTCCCTCTGGCTGGGAAGCAGTCCCCAGGCACCAGGAACTCTCCACACATGTGCGAGGAGACAGGACACAGGTGGTTTTTGGAGATTTGGAAACTGTTGCGCCGCCCACCCGGGGACAGAGGGGACTTCTCTGTCCTCTTGTACTCTGGTTGGCTTCCTGGCTGCACAGGCGTGTGTGCAGACACATAGGGTCTCTCTCTCCCTGTGTCACACACACACTACACACAGAAGTGACACCTCCCGTGGATAACCTCTTGCATACCCGTGCACGTGCTCAAGCAGGGTATTTGCACGGCACTCTAGTAATCTCTCCCTACTCACCCCTTCTACCCGCACGCCCCTCCCTCCCCCCACTGCCAAGGACAAGAGGAACATGCAGAGGGCATGCACCCCAAAAGCAGACAGGCAGCTTCTCATGCGTGGGGTTCAGACACACTGTTTCTTGCTAGGCATGTGCACGATCACTCACTCGGGGACAAACACAGACACCTTAAAAATGGAGCAGTCATCGCGCCAGCGTGGGGGACCCAGTCTCACACCGCAGAGAGGCAAGTGGACACAAGACACATTTACACACAGGGCACCCGAGAATCACACGGGCACCAAAGCAATCATACAGCAGCCCTTCCGGACCCTGAGCATTTTGTCTCTTTGTGTCTCTGTCAGTCCCTGTCTCTGTCACACACACACACACACACACACACACACCAGGAAAACATCCGCTTGTGAACTTGCCTTACCCAACACAACACTCTGCCACATGGTACAATTATCAACAAAACTCGCATTTAATGATGGTGTTGACCTGAGGAATCTTCAGACAGAAACCTGTGGCCAGAGGTGACCACCGGCAGAGAACTGGCCCAGGTCTCGGACCGAGAGTGTCCCAGAGAGGGCCGGCCGCCAGGTGGGGCGGGGGGCTGAGCTCTCCGCTGCTTTGTGAGAGGCGACTAGAAATTAGCCTGGGGTGCTGGGGGGCGGGGACAGACACGGTACAAAATACATTCAGAGGCCCCTGGGTGGGCCCCGGGGTTGTCCAAATCCTGCAAGTGAGGGAATCCGGGGAGGAACCGCAGGTCCAGTCCCTGTGCCCTTCCTTCTGCATGGCCAGGTTCCAAGGGGCGGAATGTATTTGTCATATTCCTCTTAAAAAAATATAGCTCTTTACACTCGCCTTTTCCATAGTCTCTCTGCTATTTGGGATGGGCGTCTACCTGCACCCCTCGGCTTCAGAGGAACTGCCCAGGGAGAATGCCCCGGGCAGAACAGCAAAGAGGCTGTGACCTATGGCTTTTGCATCTGCATGATAGGGGAGGGTGCAGGTGTGGCCGGACGGGCAGCCACTGGTATCCGGGCCGGGGGACGAGATGGGAACCTGGATCAATGCCCTTTAAGACAAACGTTCAATGACTCAGGTCCTCTGAAATCCTTTGGTTTGCTGTCTTGGCGTCCGCAGAGCAGTGTTTGTATGGAAAGGATGAGACACCCCATTCACCCGGTCCCTTAAGGGGTCCCCAAGGGAAGCCGGCCGCGTTGGACCATGTCAAAGGGAGGCTGACGGCCTGGGAAGGCAGCGCAGGTCCGCCGTAGGCAGGGCTGCACCTGATCCGGAGCACTCCTGCTCTCTCACCCGGACGGCAGACGACCCCCTGGTAGTGGTCCGCAGGGCAGTGTAGACGGGCGTGTTGGACCCCACAGTGGCGGGCTGTGTGGCTGGGGCTCTCGCGCTTATGCAGATTCTGCGTGTGGCATGTGGCCGCCCTCACGGGCTAACTGTGGGTGCTTGAGGTTCCCTGGAAGTGGGGTCTAGACCCCCCAAATCACCACCTGGACACATGCGTGGAAAGAGGCAATCAGCTTGTTTCTCAGAAGCCCTGTGGGCTGGGGGTGGGCTCGCAAGGCCAGTGACCCCACGTGGAGGTGCCAGTTCGCCCACGGGAGCAACATGGCTTCCCCGAGGCCACGGGGAAACCTCCTGGAAGAAAATCTTTCTTTAAATCAGAAGGTGGCCTGGGATAAGCGTCGGTGCCTGTGTGTCCTGCGTGGGGACAAGGAGGAGGTACAAAAGCCCGGGCCAGAAAGGACAGGTGTCTGGGGCCACGTTTTGGGATCAGCCCCCTGAGCCCTAGCATCCAGGTCCCCGGCAGCTGCGGAGGACACCCACTCGTCTCCCTGAGACCAACGAGCCTCTTCCCACAAGCAGAACCCAGGGTGGCGGAGACAGGGACTCGGGGGACAGAAAGGGGTCCCTGCGGCTGGCCCCGCCCCCCCAAACCAGCTGCCCTGCCTCTGGGGGGGGGGGCGTGAGTAGGGCGGGAGTGCCCGGACAACCTCTTCCCGGAGCCTCCTTTGTCATGCAGGAAACTCACTGAAGGCAAACATGGTCCCCAAGCCAAAGACAGGGCAGGTCAGTGGGGGTCCCCACGGCCTGCTTGGTCAGGACTCCCAGCCCCCGGCCCCCGCGCCCCGTGCTGGTGCGTCATCTCGGGTAGTAGTCGTCGGGCACGCCCGTGAGGTTCCTGCCCTTGAGGGCCGCGTCCACCATCTTGATGTAGGCGGAGATGGCCTTCTGCATGTCGGCCGTGTAGGGGTCGTACTCGAGCTTCCGCAGCCCGGAGCGCTTGAAGTTGCCGTCCTTCTGGCTCTCCACGCAGAGCAGCCGGTCCTCCCTGACGGCCACGCCCAGCAGGCTGACCATGCGGCCCAGCTGGACGAACAGGTCCTGCTTCAGGTCCTCGAAGTGCACCACCAGCACCTTCTTGCCGAACTTGAGCCAGTCCAGCGTGTGAGTGGCCCACCACGGGGCGTAGTTCCTCACGAACTCTGGCCACTCTGCAGGGGGAGGAGGGAGGACGGGGTCAGAGGGAGGACGGGGGTGGAGGGAGGACGGGGTCAGAGGGAGGACGGGGGTGGAGGGAGGACGGGGGTGGAGGGGGGGGCACAAAACCTGGGTCAGATTGTGCCGGCCGTGGTCGCCACGATTCGCAGCCCAACACAACTAATGCAATGAACAATCAAGAGTCACAACCCGACTCGCTCCTTTTAGATCTCTGAACACGCCTGCTACCTCCCACCTCAGAGCTGCTTCTGCCTGCAATGTTCCTAGCCCTCCCCTCTCTTTGGGGATAATTACAGTATTTTTTGTTTGGTGCTTGCTACGTGCCAGGCACAGCCCTATATATAAATGTATGTCACTATGATATATATGTTATATATTATTAACTATATATTATTATTATATTATATGTTAACTATATATTATATAGTTAATATATCTATATATTAATATATAATATATAAGTATTATTAATAATTAATTAATAATATAATTGATTATATAATATATTAATATAATTAATATATAATTTATTATATATTAATATAATTAACATATTAACTATATATTAATATTATATATTAACTATATAATTTAATATATAACTATAATATAATATATAACTATATATTATATTATTATTATTTATAACCATATATTATATTAACTATATATTATTATATATTATTAACTATATTTTATTAACTATATATTATATATTATTAACTATAATATATATGTTATATATTATTTATATTAATCTATACTACACATACTATGTTATAATTATGTATTAATGAGCACATTAATATAGCTACTGATTCCACTTAAGCCTCACAACAACCGCGTGAGGTAGGCACCATCATTATCTCCATTTAAGAGAAGAGGAAACTGAGGCACAGAGAGGTTCAGTAGCTTGCTCAAGGTCACAGAGCTCATAACTGGCAGAGCCAGGATTTGAACCAGCTTCAAGTCTGGGCTCTTAACTCCCAAGCGGTCCTGTGCAGTGGTAGCATCTCTCCACAGGATAGTAACAGGGCCGGCGCTGGACAGGCTAAGTGGGAAAAGCATGCAGAGTTTTTAACACGGTGCCTTGAACCCAGCAGGTGCTCAATAAATGCTGGCTGTCAGTTGCTGTTATTTTTATCTGTTCTCCAGTGAGACAGTGTCTTCCCCGACTCCCTAGCCTCAGGCAGGTGCCTCCTCTGGGCTTTGAGACCCCCTCCCCTCCCCCATGCCTGCACCTGTGTCGCCTGTCCCCCCACACTCTGTGACAGGACGAGGGCAGTGTTTGAGTCGGGCCGTTTATATGATTATCTTCACACATTTCTGCCCTACGCGTCTTTCTCTGCTGTGCCTTGAAGTATCCTGTGCTGTTTCCTTTTGCTACCCGTCCGCCGCCTTTCCACGGTGAAATGACACGATGCATCGTCACCCACACTGGGAGGGTGTGTTTGGGATTGTCTGGCTTGAAAGCCAGGTTACAGGGAACACGGGAAATCCCTTGGGGACACGAAGGAGAGAGGCAGCCAGTCCCCCGCCGCTGCCTCGAGTCCCACAGGAGAACGGGAGGATGTCAGGGACAGGGAAAATGGGTCACAGCCTCCCTTCTGAGCCTCAGCTGCAGAACCGCAGGGCAGGCGGTTCTGAAACCCCGAACTGAGACCCGCTGCCTCTCACAGGGACAAACGCCACCCGGCACCCCCCAGAGGGGACAACAGGGGGAGTCTGTGGGTCGGGGAATCCCCCAAGCCAGGCTGGGGGGTAAGATCCAGCTGGATCTTAAAAACTAAATCCTAATCCCTTGCTGGGTGATGAATACCCACTATCTCAAGCAGTCCTATTGCTACCCGGAATGGAAAAGGACGGTGTTGACTCATCACCGGGGGGGAAACTGAGGCTGGGAGAGGCGAAGTGACTTGTTCATGGTCACGTAGCCAGGAAGCACGGTCCAGGCGTGTTCAGCGGGAATCCAGGACTCATCTTTCCCAGGCACCAGCCACCTCACCCACTCTCCCCCCACTGCCTTGTACGCAGCAGGGGCTCCATGAATGGTTGTTGAGCTAAATTGAAATTGCAACTGCCAAATTGTGATGCGATAAAGGCCCCTTCGCTTTGCAGAACGCATCAGAATCTCCGCCGAGACTCCTGCTCCTCCAGTGTCCCCCAGAGCACCACGGACTTTTTTTTTTAATCCTTAAAATAGATTATTTACAATGTATCTGGCTAATTGGGCCCGTACTGTTATAATGGGTTAAGACCAGATGTATCTGAGCGATTAGGAAAAATCTAGCATGTGCATGGTTTGTTCTACTTTTTCAGAATTCCCCCACTCCCAAGCCACCTCACAGCGTCCCTGGCGATTCAGGACGGCTGCTACTCTTATGGGCAGAGCCCCGGTGACGGAGACGGGGCGAGGTCACCCAGCAATACACACAGGTGTCCAGGCTCCGAGGCTCAGCCACTTCCCATCACAAGTGGTGGCCGAAGGAGGGCTGCAGGGTGGCTCTCAAGGAAAAGGAAGGGGTGTCGGGGTCCCTCAGGTAACTCCGGGTGCCCTAGCCTTGGATGCAGGGGGGATGGAGGTGACACAGTACCCTAGCTGACTGCAAACCTCTGCGGGACACCAGGCTCCCCTCTCTGAGCAGCAGGCAGGAAATGCACGTTGCCTGGGCACCTACTGGGTGTCAGGGCTAGGCTGGGCACTTTGCAAGACGCCTGGAGGGGAGGACTTGCTAGCCTCATTTTAGACACAGGAAAAAGGAGGCTCAGAGACATGAAGCAATTTGCCCAAGGCCGCACAGTGGGCATCCGAGGCAGAACTCGAACCCACAATTACCCCAGGCTGACCTTGGCTCTCCGCACCCCAGCCAACTGGTTAAGAGCACCGGATGGTTCCAGGAAGCCTGACTCTGAGTCTACCTGCTGCTCACTTCCCCTTCAGGCTGTTGTCTGAGAGGCAGGATCTGTTCATAGATGACTGCCGGGGTGCAAAACCCGGCTCCTCTTACTTGAGCTGTGTGACCTCGGAGCCTCAGTTTACCTATCTGCAAAATGGAGGTCCCGATAAGACCTCCTACCTCCTCCAGTTGCTGTGCAGTTTGAGTGGAATAAGATTTGCAGAGACCCTGGTACGGTGCCTGGGGCATAGGAGGTGCTCGATAAAGGCTGGTTACTGCCGTTATTCATGGTGCTGTTGGTGGCCATCCCCAACCCCCGTCCTGCCTCCTGAGACTCCCCATGTGCCCCATCATTTCGGTCTGGGCTTCGCTCTAAAAGCACAATAGCTATCCAAGCTGTTTCAGCAGCAGATGTTTGCCCACCTCGCCCCCTCCTATGGCAAAGCCTCCGCACTTGAAACTCCTAAATTACTTCATTGCAAGGAAGAAGAATAAAAATTAAGAACAAAAGCCCTCGATTGGCTCAGGATTCCTGGCAGCTAACTGATCCCTGCCTGCAACTCGGGTAATAAAGCCGAGGAGCATCCGTGACGAGTGCTGGTTCTGCCGGGACTGTCGCACAGGTGTGCGTGGCGGGGCGCAGGCTGGCTGTCCTGCGCTCCATCCTCTTGTTGACGGAGGAACTGGGGCCTGATTAATAGCTTAACTGTCCTTAATTCCCCACGGAATCATTAAACACGGTATCTGTTTCATTAAACAGATCCAGGACAATTCACCTTGTGTAATCATATCACATAAAATTTTGCTCTGGATTCACTCCAGGGAGACTGTAAAATTAACATTATGGAACCAAAAGGGGGGGGGAGGGGGTGTTGTAGAAGCCTCGATGGAGCTCTAATTGGGAAGGGAACGAGGGGACTGTGGGGTGGGCATGCTCAGTCGCCGGGTGACCTCCGGTCTTCCGGGATGACCTTCACATTCCGTCGCCAAGGGCATCCCAAAGCGGCAATTCCCAAAGTTTAGAGTGCGCACAAAGCCCCCCGGGAGAATCTTGTTAAAATGCACATTCTGATCCAGGAAGCCTTGGGTGGGGGCCCCCAGGTGACGGTGATGCCACTGATCCACAGACCACATTTGTTCGAGAGCAAGGGCTTAAAGCGGTGGTGCTTAAACGGGGCTGCAGGTCAGAACCTCGAGGAAGGCTTGTTAAATCACAGCCTGCAGGGGCCACCATCTCCATCCGGTAGGTCTGGGGTGGGGCCTGGGAATCTGCATTTCTAAGGTCTTGTGTGATGCAGATGCTGCTGTTTCAGAGACCCCAAAGCAAGGGCCCGAACTGCAGTGCCCACCGAGGCCAGAGGGCGAATGCAAACGAGAGAAAGGGGCTGATGGGGACGTGGGGTTCTGTTCCTTGGGGGCAGAGCAGAAGGGCTGCCGGAGCCCTTCAGACCCGCGTCGGGCCTTTAGGGGGTGCTTGCAGGAGACCCCTTCTCCCATCCCAGATAAATGTGGGCCCCCAATATGAGATGCATTGCTCCCCCAAACTCGCTGCAGCCTCTTGGTTCAGCTTGATTGCCCCCTTAGCGCTGGTTTGAAGCTCCCGGCTGTCTTGGTTAAGGAAAAAGAGGGGAGACGGCTCCTGGGGATGAGGGGGGCTGTCTGAACCTAAGACAGGGCTGTCGGGAAGAGGAGAGCCTCTGCATGTACCAGAGGGTCAGCAACATCTCAGGGCAAGAGTCGAACCTGGTGGCTCATGCCTGGGATCGAATCCCAGCTCAGTGCATGCCCGGGGCCTTAGCCGAGTGCCTTGCCCCTTACTGCGACCGTTTTGTCGCCTGTACAACAGAGCGCCACCGAACCGCTTCAGCCTTTCGTATGAGACAGCAAATGCCAAGTGCCCACATGAGCTTCCTGCGTAAGTCCCTTCTCTGTTCACTCGGGCCACAGGGTGCCTGGGAGGCAGAAGAACCAAGTCCAGGGGCCTGGACCCACCGTGGGGGTCTCTGCCTCTTTGCGGGCCTCAGTTTCCCCATGCAGAAACAGAGAATCAGTGGTTCTCAGCCCTGCTTGCAGGTCAGAAGCAGCCGGGGAGCTTCATAAAGGAGTGATGTCCAGGCGCCCCCCCAGGCATGGCGCAGGGCGCAGCCGGGCTTGGGGGTCCCCACACTCCTCCAGCCAGTTCCATAGAGAGGACAAAGCTAGGCAGGGGTCAAATCTGCTGGTGGTGGGTGTAGGTCAGCAGGGTGGTTCCTAGGGCCAGAGAAGCCGGGGCACCAATCAGGGGCAGGGACTGCTTTGTACTCACTCTTGACGCTGGGAATCCAGGACCAGGGAACGTTGAGGCACACCCAGCAACAATATAGCTTGTAAAAAGGTGGACTTCTTACATTCCCGCCATTTTGTTATCCCCGTTTTATAGATGGGACAACCTAAGTTCAGAGGGGTCAAGGATCTCCTCCAGGAAGTGGTGGAGCTGGGACTTGAACCCAGGAGCTAGTGCTGCTTAACTCATGTGCTTTTCCACCGTGCTACATAACAGCCCAGAGCACAGACAGGGAGGTCTACCACAGGCAGGAAGCGGAGCCCGGCAGGCACCCCCTCCAGGATGCCCTCTGGGATTCCTTGCGGGGGTCAGCGCCCCCTGCAGGCCGCCCCGCCCAGACAGCTCCGCCCCCACCTGTCCCCATGCACTGCCCCGGCTGTACCTTTGCCCTTCCAGTGGGCGTGGGCCGCGAAGCCGATGTGGCCGCCGTACTTGCGGTTGAACTCGGCCATGAGGGCCTTGTAGGGGTTGCGGATGAGCAGGATGGCGGCGTCGAAGGCCTCGATCTCCTTCTGGCCACTCTCGTGCGTCTTGATGCAGATGGTGCGCCCGCTGCGCCAGTGGTCCCGCTCGCCTTTAAACCCTGCCCGCAGCCGGAGGTGGGAACACCACAGACAGGTGAGCAGGGGCGGCGGGAAGCCCGCTCCACACCGCCCCCTACCGGGCCACCTCAGGAACCCTTGCTCGCTCACTTACTCACGCATGCATTTATTGAGCACCTACTATGTGCCGGGCACTGTGCTGGGATCTGAGGTGTAAAATGATTTGCAAAAAAAAAAAAAAATTCATGGGTCTTGGTCTTTTTGAGAGTCAGATTACTCACACAATGACACAGATAAATGTAAAGCCACTGCCGTGGTTAGTGCCACAAGGAGGATTAATGCTCAGGTGCTCCCAGAGGGGCCTGTGGGCAGGTGTGGGGTGATCCGTGGATGGGTAGAGTCCATATCCCCCCCGCTGGTGTCCGGCATGGCCCTGGGTCTTGCTTTGGCCCATGGAATGAGGGCAGAGGTAGGTCTCAATGGATGCTGCACATGTTTCATCCCATGAAGAAGGGCGTGCCCTGGGGCTGGGAGTGAAGGACGGCATTGGTCCCAGGTGGTGAGAGACTCAGAGAACAGACATGGCCCCACCCTGCAGCCTGGACCGGAGCCGCCCAGTCAGCTCAACCACAGTCACCAACCTAGTCCAGGAGCATCTGGAAAGGTTTCTTGGGGCAGGAGGTGCTTACACATAGAACTGAAAAATGAGAAAAAAAACCTCCCTAGCCCCCAAAGGTAGGGATGGGAAGACCAGGGGGTGGAAACGGCAGGTGCAAAGGGCCTGTGGTGTGTGAGAAGAAACGTGTCACGTACAAGTGCCAGCCGAGGGAGCTCAGAGAGCAAGAGGGGAGCCGTGTGGCTGGACAGGGTCACAGGGCTGTGACGAAGAGGTCGGTACTAGGCCAGAAAGACTGGGCAGCCCTTTTGAGGACTTAAGCAAAAGGAAGGAGGGACACGATCGGGTTTTCGTTTCAGAAGCCAATGGGCTGAGAGAAGTTCTGTGCAGCTAGAGGGTGAGGAGATGCTTCTATAGCAATGGCTCAGAGCTGGGCAGTGTCTGAGTTCTTCCCGTGTTATTAAGCCATTCAATTTTCTCAACAATCCTATGCAGGGTTTTACAGATGGGGAAAGTGAGGCAGAGAGGTCAGATAATTCACCCATGTTACAGAGCTAGGGAGAGGCAGAGCTGGGCTACAAACCCAGGTCACCCATCCTCCTGGGACTGTGTTGTTCACTGTCTAAGCACCCACGTTCACAAGAGCCCGGGCATTTGGATGCAATCTTGATGGCCAAGTAGACATGTCATTGTCCTAGGCCTTCAAGATACTGGCTGTGTTTGCAGCTCAATGCAGAGTGATTCTGGAGATCATGTCACCTCTCTGGGCCTCAGTCTCCTCATCTGTAAAATGGAACCGGCACCTTCTCCTTCACAAGGCCATCGTGAGAGGTCAGCGAGGTGCACAGCGAGACTCCAATAAAAACAGCAACCGGTGGAGATGAAAATCAGGCACGAAATCATGAGCAGAGAAGCCATCCGTCTCATCAAACCCTGGAGTATAGTTTCTTCCCTTCCTGCCCCTGGGACTTGCCAAGTCAAGCTACCTGCGGTTATCCTAGACTTGCAAATTAGCACTGGCCTGTGCCCATACGAAAATCCAACCCCACAGCCTTTGAGGATGACGAGAAGCGCAGTATCAAGGGGGAAAATCGGCTCTTGAAAGCAATGAGGAGCAGGATGTGGGGGCTTAAGAGAGAGCGTGGGACAGAAACGTTTATCCGCAAGGCGACTCTGGATATGATTTCACGTTACGGGTCCCATTGGCAGAGCTCTGCACGACACGAACAAAGGACTTTCCATCGCGATGGCATTTTATCTCTATCCACATCTCTTTCGCTATGAGCACAGCAATGACAAGACACAGGCAGGGGGTGTATAAGAACCTACACAGATTCTCAAAGAGGAAAAATCATTTGTCAGAAATGCAGAAGAATGGTCAAACTATTAATATTTTAAATCAGTTCTTTTTTTTTTTAATTTTATTTTTTATTTTTATTGAGACAGAGTCTCGCTTTGTTGCCCAGGTTAGAATGAGTGCCGTGGCGTCAGCCTAGCTCACAGCAACCTCAAATTCCTGGGCTCCAGCAATTCTCTTGCCTCAGCCTCCCGAGTAGCTGGGACTACAGGCATGCGCCACCATGCCCGGCTAATTTTTTCTATATATATTAGTTAGTCAATTAATTTCTTTCTCTTTATAGTGGAGACGGGGGTCTCGCTCTTGCTCAGGCTGGTTTCGAACTCCTGACCTGGAGCAATCTGCACGCCTTGGCCTCCCAGAGTGCTAGGATTATAGGCGTGAGCCACCTCGCCCGGCCTTAAATCAGTTCTGTGCATCCTGAGACCTAAGTGTTACCTCTTCGCCCATGATGGGGTCAACCTCGCACGGTAGTTATCAAGATTAAAAAACAAGCAAACAAAACCCAAGGAAAACCATGAATACTGGGAAAGACCTGCTCCAGGTTCCAGACTTTGGTTAGTTTCTAGGGAGCATTGGAAACGTAGGGAATTGGGGGAAATTCCATTTAGCGAGGTGTCTCCCCGGGAGAGAAGAGCTCTGTGTCTGGAGAGGAGCCTTGGAAAAGTCACAACAACAGACAGTTGCTCAGTTGTCCTCTAAGGAGGGCCCAACCAGGTAAGTGCTAGGAAACTGGGGATGCAAGTTTGGGTCCGAGTGGAATTGCTGAACTCCACCACCAGGGGCGCCCCTTCTCCATCCTTCCCCAACACAGCACCCAGCACCTCCATGATATAAACGTGGCATATAAAATCCTATTACTTTTAAGAGTCACCAAAATATCAGATTACCTGGGACACCCACCTGACCCTCGGACTCTGAGGGGCTGAACAAGTACCCCAGGATTTGGAGAGACAATTTTGTGGGTTCAAGGCCATGGGGAGAACAAGATATGGCTTCCCCTTCTCTCTTCCGACTCCCCAATTACTATAGTTGTGTATGCATTTTGCAGTTAGGGAAACTGAGGCACGGAGCAGGGAAGTGGCAGAGACTCCACATCTTTGCATGCCCTGGAGTTTACTGGGGCAGGAAAAGTCCTATTGTGGCTCCGGGCATGGACATCCTGAAAACTGGTGGTCCCATAGGACAATGAGATTTGTTTTGGCCATGAGACAGTTCTTGGAAATTCAAGGCCTGTGTCCGCTGGGCTGGGAGGCTGCCTCGTGCATTCCCTGCCCCATCTGTGGGCCTCCCACAGCTGGGGAAAGGCCTGCATACCGGCCTCAGGACATCATCCCACCCCGCCCTTTTCTGTGTCCCCTCCCTTCTTCTGTGTCCCCTCTCTGAGAAGTCAGGACTCTGGCTGCTGCCAGATCACAGAGCTCTAGGCTGCACTCAGGGCTGCGGGCTCCCTGGGAGGGGGCCAGGGTGGGGATGAAACTCAGGCAAAGGGCAAGGTGGGAGGAGCAGGACAGAAGTGGGGACCGAGACCAAGCAAGGGGGGAGGTGCAGCGGCGGGGAGAAGGACAGACACAAATGAAATGAGACAGAGACAGAGAGGGAGCAGAGGGAGACAGAGAAAAGCAGAGACACGTACAGGACGGAGGTAGACTTGCAGAGAGAGACAGGATGATCAAAAAAGAGACAGCGATTTTTGCCGCTTCCTGTGCCCACGTGTGCCCATCAATCAGTTCTAAACGGCCCGACGGGGGATGGACACAGGTGCAGACGGCAAACCACCCTGGGGAGGGGGACGAGAGGCAGACTCAAGTGGGCCGGAGCCCCTGGGTCCAGGAGGGGAGCGTCCCTACGGCCCTTCCTTTATTCACTCCCTCCCTCCCTCCCTCCCTCTTTCTCCAGCACCTGCGCCCTTTGCCCAAGTGCGGGAAGAGAGGGCTGCAGAAAACACAGAGGAAGGAGAGGAAATGTCAAGCAGGCATGAGATGTAGCAGGGAGGTCACCCGCCTGACACCGGCTTCTTACAAGAGAGGGACCCGGCTCTCGGGTGGGGGGAGCGTGTCCCCAGCCACCCCGCACGGCAGCAGCGGGAGTAAGGGTGCTCGAAAGGATTCCATCAGCTCAGGGCACAGACGCCACCCTCCACACCCTCCCACCAAGGCCCCCAGAAACACGAGAGCCACCGATGACCTCCTACACGTCCCACCTCACTGTCCCCTTCTCCCCACCATTGCCACTCACCCAGATGACCCTGTGGCCTCCTAAATACCCCCAGTCCAAAGCCGTGGCCAGGGGGGTGATTCAAACGAGCACCCTGTCTCTAACACCCTCAATAATCCACCCCAGCCCCACCCCAGCCCCTCAGGATACTGTCCCCGGCTTTCAGAAGGGCATTCCCGGTGCTCTGCCATCTCCAGTCCTGGCTGCTCCTCCTGTCCCCCCCGCCAGCCGCCAGCCCTTCCCCTGTCCCCGCCCAACGACAACCTAACTGCTGTGTTCAGCCAGCACCCTGCGCGGCACCCCCCTCCTCCCTGTCCTTTGGGGTGAGCCTTACCCATCTTCTGCACACCCCCTCCCCCCCAAGACTGAGCCAGAAAAAAACATATAAAGCCACCTGTCACGGCGCTGGCCCATTGCAGATATTCACTAAGTGCCCAGAAGGATTCCTCTTCTTAACAGTGACACGAATGTGTTCCTGGTAGAAAGGGCTTCAGTGAAGCAATGCTGGGGTACCAGGAGAGTGAAGGGGCCACCTGAGTCTGCCAGAGACACTGCAGAGGGGGTGTCGGGGCTGCCCGGGCCGGTGAGCAAGGCACAAGCATGGTGGCAGCAGGACCGATGTCCCAGGAACCGCACGTGCAGCTCTCTGGTGTGTCCGTCACTCCAAAGAGCTCATTAGACCTGGCGGCTGATGTCTCAAAGGGACCACAGAGTCCCCGCCTGGGGTGGGGGACAACCGGGGCGGAGAAGTTCCCCTCCTCCGCAAGGGTACCAGGATTTCAGCTGCAAAGGTGACGTGGGGAGGGGCTTGGGAGTTAGCCAGATTGACTCAGGCTGTTGGGGAGTCGTGGCTGGGGAGGGGGTGTCCTTCTCTTTGCCGGGGCTCCACTGCCAGCCCCCCCCAGCTCCTGGGGACAGCTCATTGTTACCTGCCAGGGCTCAGGCTGCGGGGAGTATGTTTAAGCTCCTAATGAAAAGGCAGCTCTACTCAAAGCCACCGCTGCCTGTGACCAGCCCTCACACCCCTGCCTTTCTCAGTGGGAACTGAGGAAATATCTAGTAACTAGACACAGCTGGAGGCAGGAGAATTGCTGTGGAGGGTTTGTATTTTCTTTCTTCCTTTTTTGTTTTCTTTAAATCAAGTTAAAATTTTAGTCAACACCTCACTGCATTAATGATCAATTAATATTCCCCAATGACAGAGTAAAAACGGCACAAGGTGAAGATAATTTTTTGGGGGGGCGTTATGGGTCTCAAAGTAAAAATACTGGGTTCTTAGTCTGGGAGGGGGGTGGTCCCAGCTCTGGCTTTGCATGAGGTCCCCTGGGGAGCTTTTAAAAGAAACTGAGGGCAGCCCACTCCTGAGACGCTGTAGGTAATGGTCCAGTTCTCTGGGTGGTTCTAACGTGTAGTCAAAGACCAGCCCTCTTGGCCTTGGACTAAGTAGCTCACTGTCCCGCTTACATGTCATTTAAAAAATAACATGTATTTTACCCTATAGCTTCACACATATTATCTCACAGGCATTATCTTATTTTATTTTTGGAAAATCTCTGAGTTTAGTACTGACGTCCCCATATGACGGATGAAACAATTAAAGCTCAGAGAGGTGAAGGCTCTTGCCCAAGTTGCCACAGCTGGTAAGTACCAGAGTGAACTTTCGCACCGAAAGTTAAATCTCCTGGCTCCACCTTAAGATTCAGTTTTCTTTTCCCGGAAGTTAGGAGGTTGTGGTGGATCAGAGACGGCAAGTATTTGGCTTACAGACCATTGCTCCCTATTCATTTCCATAGGCATCTCTGCTAGATCGAGGCCTGTTTCTGAGAGAGAAGAGTAGAATGAACCTCAGAATCCTTCTTAACACATTGTCCTGAAGCAGGGGTTTGTTGGAATTCACACATGAGAGGAAACCATTTGGATCCTGAGGGATCCTTCTACATGACAATTCTGGGATTGCCTGGATAGGGTTGTTTGCACATCCAGGAGGGCTGGAATGTGGGAGAAACCCTGGGATGCTTTCTGGGCAGGCATCCCCCAGCCACTGCTCCAGGACCAGCCAGAGAGATTCTGGAATGTGCCCAGGCTCCTTTCAGCAACTCCCATAACCGCAGCACACCACAGGGGTTAAGATCTTAGGTGCTGTGGAAAGCTAGGCCTGGGTTCAAATCCTGATACAAATATGCAAAACCCTCAGCATGGAGCCTCATACGTAACAGGTGCTTAACACATAAATTGCTCAAACCCAAACTAAAAATTAATAAATATATAAAAAGCTGGGATTCAAAGGCAGATTCCCTGCCCCGCCCCTCCAACCTTTGACCTGTCTCTCTTCACTTTTCTTGTCTTCTTCATGAGTTTCTGTGTCCCTCCCACTTGTCACCCTGAGAAAGACACAGTCCCTTAGCTGTCCCTGAGCTAGGGATCTGTCAATCAAGCTGGCTCTAGTACTCACATACTACTTTTTTATTGAACACATACTCTGTTCTGAGCATTGCAAGTATCAACTTATTAACCTTTACAACAGCCTCGTGAGGTCATACTGTTTGTTATCTCTAATTTGTGCACGAGGGCACAGGATCAGAGAGGTACAGTAACTTGCCCAAGGTCACACAGCCAGGAAATGGTCTTCAGCTGGTTTGCAGACCCAAAGACCATGGCCAAGGGTTGCTCCCACGTAGATGTGAAAGCCTCAGAGGCAGAGTCCCAGCTTCTTTGACAACTCCCATCATGCCTAGGGGAGGGTGTCTGCCCTAAGGGCATTTCACCCATAATTTCTAGTTTCATTCAGGATTTTCCAGTAAAAAAAACCCCAAAAATAAGAAAAACCCAGGGATTTCTTGCTTGTGTGATAGAATAATTGGAAGTGGGCTTTGAAGCTGGGGAAGACTAGGATGCTATCTCCAATCAGCCTGTTGGGGGGAAAAATGCAAACAAAATACTGTGTGACTTTAGCTAAGTTATTTCTCTTTCCCAAGCCTCAGTTTTCATATCTGGGAAATGGCACCATTATCCTTACTCCCAGGGTTCCTGTGCAGGATTAGATAAGAATGCAGCACCTGGTACAGCTCTTGGCACCTAGTAGGTGGTCAAGAGAACATCTATAGATAGCCATGTGAACCTACATGAGGTGCTTGGCACACAGCTGGTGCTCCATAAATGCATACTGAGAAACCAAACTTAGGAAGTGCGTCCAGACATTGCCGTGCTCAGTAAATATCTGCAAATGGAGGGGAAATAAAGCACCCTGCAGAACCAATATTGATGACTTAGGTGTAGATGAGGACCCAGTAAATAGTAGATACTCAATAATAAATGTCTCCAAAGCGACATAGTTATTGTACCTCCTGTGGACAGCAAAGAGGTGCTGGTCAGTAAATACCTGTGGTGAGGTGCCTAGCACACAGTAGGAGCTTAAGGCATGTTGCGGTGACCTAAATGGAGGAAAAGGACCAGGCACATGCCAGGCGCTGGATAAATGTCAGCTAGTGAATTGGTGTAGGCGAGGTACCCAGGACATGATACTCAAGAAATGTTTGTGGGGCCGGGCATGGTGGCTCACACATGTAATCCCAGCAGTTTGGGAGTCTAAGGCTGGAGGACTGCTTGAGGTCAGGAGTTCGAGACCAGCCTCCGCAACGTAGCAAGACCCCCATCTCTACAAAATATAAAAACATCAGCCAGGCGTGGTGGCGCACACCTGTAGTCCCAGCTACTCGGGAGGCTGAGGCAGGAGGATCGCTTGAGCCCAGGAGTTAGAGGCTGCAGTGAGCAATGATGACGCCACTGCACTCCAGCTTGGGCAACAGACTGAGACCCTGCCTCGGAAAAAAGAAAAAAGAGCTGTGTGTAGCGAGTAAAGAAAGGGAGGGCTCCAAGCACATAGTAGGTCTCAATAAGTGTGCCGGGTGAGCTGAGCGGCACACAGTAGGTGCTCAGGACGGGTATTCCCATGCCCTCCCAGCGGGGACCTTCCCAAGGCCAGGAAGCCTCGGCACCCCCTTGCCCCCGCTCCTCTGTGCCCTCACCTTTGTTGTAGAGGGAGCCGTCGAAGTAGTAGCTGCCGGTGTAGAAGCCGGTGGCCAGCTCGATGAGGTGGCGAGCCCACGTGTTGCCGGCCCCCGGGAAGCTGGCCAGAGCGATGAGCTGACCGGACTTGGCCGGCAGGAACCTTCTGTCCATGCAGCGGTTGTCTGAAAAGGGCAGGGCACGCACAGGGGTCAATGGCAGGGCAGACGGAGCCTGTGCGGAGTGGACCGGGATGCGGGCCCCACCCCTCGCCACTTCCCAGCCGTGTGACTCAGCACACGTGATGGAAGCTTCCGTGGGCCTCAGTTTCCCCATCTGTAACATGGGGGAGATGGCTTCTCTCAGGGTAGGGGCGAGGGTTCAATGAGATCATGTATGGGAAGGGGTAGGCACAGTGCTCAGCACATAGTAGGGATTCAACAGAAGTCAGCTAGGAGGATAAAACTCTTGAGCCTCAGTTTCTCCCCCGTAGAGCAAGTCTTTCCCAGTCACCCTGCCCCTGCCCTCCAGATTAAAACCCTCAGTGGTGTCCACCTACAGGGGACCCAGTGCAAGCTTCTTGGCTTGGCCTTCGAGCCCGCAGGGCTGGCCCCTTGCGCACACCCAGGCTCATTTCGTCCCACCTGCCAGCCGCCAGCCACCCCGGCTCTCTTCTGCTCCTTCCTGACTTAGCACCTGCGTTTGGTCCCAGCGCCACCTCGCCCCGCCTGCCTTTGCTTCTTATTCTTCCGCTCTGTGCCCACGCATCCATCCTCCCGCCTTCCCTCCCTGGGCCGTCATTTGCGTGCTGCTATGTCATCTTCCCCATAGCGCTTGTCACAATTGCAATGCCAGTAATTATTTGTCGCGATTCGTTGTGTAGTCAAAATCCTGCCTGTACTGCTCTTTGCTGATTTCCCAGCACTTTCCGTAATATCTGGCATACAGCAGGTACCTAATAAATACGTCTCGGATGGCTGGACGAATGGGTAGACGGGTGTAGGGGTGGATGACAATAATTGTGACTTTCCAGGGCTTTGTAAGGATTGCATGAAATAATGCATGTGCTATGTTAATAATACTCAGTCGAAAGTGCTCTAAGGGTAGATGTATTTTTCTCTGGCCTTCAGTTTTCTCATCTGTAAAATGGATTGGTGGGGTTGGCGGGTACCATTGCGCAATTCGGGATTCTCCGGCTTTTTAGAGAGCTCAGCGTGCGGTTGCTGTCAGAGTTCAAGGGAAATGCACGCCCGGCACCTCCCACTTGCGAGCCCTACTGGAGCTAAGGAAGGACAGGGGTTTCTTTTGGTCCCCCCAGCAGAGAGGGAAGCTGAGGGAAAGCCCAGCGTAGGGGACCCTGGAAGAAAAAGGAAGAGGGGAGACTCCGAGATCCAGGCCTGGAGGCCCCGGGTATCATTCCTGGCTTCTCCCCTCTGGGCAGGTGACCTCCATCTTTAGTCGCCATCACAGTGAAGGCGGGCAAACCCCCCTCGCCTCCCTCCCCCGGCTCCCCTGGCCTTGACCTCCTTCCCTCCCACTTCCGGGCAGCCCACCCATCCCCTGCCCATGCAATCTGGGCCACTTTCCTCCCCTCCTCCCCAAGCTCCTGGCCCCACGCGTCCCTTTTATCTTCTCTCTCTCGGCTGGCTCAGTCACATGCACATTCAAACATGAACAAACAGCTCCGGCATTTAGAAAGACTCCCCTCCAGCGGCCCCTGCCTCTCCTTCCCCTCGTGGCAGCCTCACTCCAGCAGAGCTGCCACGTCCCTCAGTCGGCGGGCTCTGGCCTCCACGCTGCGCCTGGGATCAGGGCTCGCTGAGGTCCCCAGTGATCCCCGTGACGAAGCCAGCAGCCAAGCCCCCCTCCCTTGACCACTCAGCAGCAGCGGGTCACTCCACCCTCCCCATGCGTCGTTCCTTCCCGAGATCTCACCCAGGTCTTTCCCGTTCTGCATTAACTGCCACCTGCTGTATCCCTACTGTGAGCCTGGCTGAGTTCTCACGACAGCCCTTTGAAGGAGAAGGTTGAAGTCCGAGATTTAAATTCCAATTCTGCCACTTAATATGCTGGGTGACCGTGACAAAAATGATCGCTCTGAGCCTCAGTTTCCTCACCTGTAAAATGGAACCAGCAAGCAGTGCTGACAACGGCCTGGAGTTGTTAGGAGGGTTACATTTGAGAGCGAACGTGGAGTGTTCACATAAGACTCGCACTGGAAGTGTCAGCCCACCGAGGCTGTCGGTATTGCTGCTACTAGCCAGAGGCTCTGCCCTCTTCTCCTGCCATGTGTGATCGGCTTGTTTGGAGGAGAGCAGATTCAGGAGGCAATAAGCCAAGGAGAGTCAGTGTCAAAGCCAAGCAGGCATCTGGGAAGGGTTTTCATGGGCATCTGCTGCACAAGGGACGCAGACATGGGGACTTTCTGAGTGTTGGCAGGGGTGTGGGTTACCCGGGTGCCGCTGGTCAGTACGCTTAAAATCTGTGCATTTCACTCTATGGGAATGTTACTTTGAAAAATCACGAAGCAAATAATATTGAATTAAAATGAATGATAAACGTATTGAAGTGCAACAATGTTTGCAACTCACTTTGAAATGCATCAAAAAATAAGCATGGAGGGAGGAAGAGATGGAGACATGCACGATAGAGTGAATACAGCAGAAAGCTGACAAATGTCAAACCTGTGGAATGAGGACATGAGCATTCACTGCGTAAGTCTTTCGACTTTTGTGGAGGGTTGGCATTTTTTTTTTTTTTAATAATAAAAAACGTTGGGTCCGCTCCTTCATTTCTTTCAAAAACAGAATTCTCCATTCGAGTACTTCGTGGGATGCCAAGACCAACCCCAAGATAAAGGCTGTTGTTTTTGGTGCTGAAAAGGAAGTTTATTTGGTTCTTAATCCCAGTAAGTCAAAGCAGATGCTGGAGGCAGTATTACACACAGCTCCGGAGTCGGACAGACCTGCATTTCCACCCTGGATGGTCACGGCTACTTGTGTGACTTCGAATAAGGCTCTTTGGCTCTCTGAGCCTCAGTTTCCTCACTTATAAAACAAGGCTAATACACCTTACAGGATTAAATAGGATAATGAGTGAGAATTATTCACAATGTACGTTGACAATCTGAGGTTAAGAGTGCAGTTTTGGGACCCAGATTGCCTAGGTCTGAATTCCAACTCTGCCCTGTCCAAGCTGCGTGATTCTGCCCACGTTAACTCAACCTCTCTGTGCCAAGGTATCTCCTTTGTAAAATGATAATAACAGTGCTTATATCCCTGGATCGTTGAGAGCATTAGATGAGTTAAACCAGGTAAAGGTCTTAGACAGAGTTGGGCACACAGTAAGTCCTCAATAATTATTTCCCATCAGAAACATTAGGGCTCAGCACAGAGTAGGTTCTTGCTACATGGCAGTCATCTATGATAGACAAGGTTCTGGGCAGCTTGAAGAACCACATGACTCTCACCTCTCTCCAGTGTGTAAGGACTGCCAAGGTGACATGGAAAAATTGAAGACTAGTAATGACCTAGGGGCAGGGCACCAGGAATGGGCAAACTCATATACTAAGGACTCCTTTTCTGCTGTTGAAAAAGCTCCAACACCTGTTCTGGTCTCAGCAAAGCCATTCACAGTCACAGAGTAACTAATCTGTGTATGACTTTCCCCTCCAGACTGAGGCAACATGGCTCTCACGGACTACACAACACTCCTCTAAAAACTCCCCAATACTCATCCTTTTCACTGGAGTGTAAACAGACTCAAGAGCTGCACGTGCTGCACCAGGCTCCTAGCAGGACTTTAGCTGCCATGGAAGCAGCCACAGTTGGTTGGTCACTACTGGTATCCCATCAGGCCAAACAGGGGACAGACTATTGGTGGGGCTGCCGCTAGCTTTTATAGCTAGTGGCACATCAGAAAAAAGGTGCCTTCCCCTTCCTCTGGGCAGACGGGCTGCCATCCAGGGTGCACAGCATGTGGGTTGGCTTTCTGGACCACTTTTTAGTACAGTGTGCTTGTGCAGTGCCCAACCTGCCCAACCACACACAGTGGCCTGGTTACTGGGGAAATGAGGAGTAGGAGGTCTAGTCCAAACGTGTTTTGATGGCTCTCCAGGCTGTGGGAGTATTCTTTGCACCATGGACAAAGGTTTCCAGCGGGGGCTTTGGAGTCAGACACCTGAAAGCAAATTGCTTTCATAGAGGTGTAATCGTATCTAATTCAGAGCTGTCTGAGTCTTGGTTCTCCCATCTGTAAAATGGGGATGATACTTCCCTGATCATAGGCTTACTGTAGACTTTACATTGCTAAATGAGATGAGGCCTGGCATGAGGACTGGTGCATCGTAGATGTTCACTATATTCAGATATTGGGTTAATCCTTCAGGGCTGCTTTTGGGCTGAGTGTCCTAGCAAGGACACTTGCTCCCCAAGGCCCCACCTAAGTGCCACCCGCCATCCCTGAAGACTCAATCAGGAAAAAGGTTTCTATCAAGAAATCTTACAAATAGCTTGACTTCAGGCAAGTCCCTCAACTGCTCTGAGTCTCAATTTCCCTCCTACAAAGTGGGCACAACAACTGTTCCCACCTCATAGGAGCATTGAGGGGGTGCAGTGAAGGACTCAACTCTGAGTCTGGCACAGAGTAAGACTTGAAAAACTCCAAGCGTTACTGCTTCTCCTCCTCCTCCTCATCACCGCTTTCATCACCACTTTTATCACCACCACAACCATCATCACCATCACCCATCACCATCACCATTACCATCAACCATCATTACCATCACCATCAACCATCATCACCATCACCATTACCATTACCATCACCCATCACCATCACCATTACCATCACCATCACCATCAACCATCATCACCATCACCATTACCATTACCATCAACCATCATCATCATCACCCATCATTACCATCACCATCAACCATCATCACCATCACCCATCACCATCACCATTACCATCAACCACCATTACCATCACCCATCATCATCACCATCAACCATCACCATCAACCATCATCACCATCACCCATCACCATCACCATCAACCATCATCACCATCACCCATCACCATCACCATTACCATCAACCATCATCACCATCACCCATCACCATCGCCATCAACCATCATCACCATCACCATCAACCATCATCACCATCACCATCAACCATCATCATCATCACCATCACCATCAACCATTACCATCACCCATCAACCATCACCATCACTCATCAACTATCACCATCACCATCACCATAAACCATCATCACCATCACCATCACCCATCATCACCATTACCATCACCATCACCCATCAATCATCACCATCACCATCATCCATCAACCATTACCATCACCATCACCCCTCAACCATCACCATCACCCATCACCATCACCATCAGCCATCATTACCATCACCATCAACCATCATCACCATCACCATCAACCATTACCATCACCCATCAACCATCACCATCACCCATCAACTATCACCATCACCATCACCATCAACCATCATCACCATCACCCATCACCATCAACTATCATCCATCATCACCATTACCATCACCATCACCATCACCCATCAATCATCACCATCACCATCACCCATCAACCATTACCATCACCATCACCCATCAACCATCACCATCACCCATCAACCATTACCATCACCATCACCCATCAACCATCACCCATCACCATCACCCATCAACTATCACCATCACCATCACCCATCACCATCACCATCACCCATCAACTATCACCATCACCATCAACCATCACCATCACCCATCAATCATCACCATCACCATCACCCATCAACCATTACCATCACCAATCACCATCACCCATCACCATCACCATCAACCATCATCTCCATCACCATCACCCATCAACCATCACCATCACCCATCAACCATCACCCAACACCATCACCATCACCATCAACCACCATCATCACCATCACCATCATCACCACCATCACAATCACCCATCACCATCACCATCAACCATCATGATCACCCATCAACCACCACCATCACCATCACCATCAACCACCACCATCACCATCACCATCAACCATCACCATCACCATCACCATCAACCACCACCATCACCATCACCATCAACCACCACCATCACCATCAACCATCACCATCACCCATCAACCACCACCATCACGATCACCCATCACCATCACCATTAACCATCATCATCATCATCATCATGTCGGGTAGTCCCAAGAGACAGAAGAGGAGCTAAACAGTAAGTGTGGGTTCCTAGCAAAAGAAGAGGATTAGAAGTAGAAATGATGAGTGAGACAGGAAGAGAGAAGAAGGAGTGAGAGAAGGAAGAACTTATAAATAAAGTTACAAATTCCTAGAACTGCAAGCGACTTTGTAGGTCAACAATCTACAGCTTCATTTTACAGATGGAGAAACTGAGGCTCACAAAGGGGAATGGCTTGTCCAGGATCACACAGTGGGTCTGTGTTGGAGCCAGTGGGAGACCTACGTCTCTCTTGCTACTCATCTCACTGCCTCTACCACAGGAAAAAGACCACCAGGGGTCCTCAGTGATGGGAGATAGGGAGGGGGTTATTGGAACCAGCCCCGTGTGGTGCTCGGAGGTGGCTACTGGGAGAGCACCTGGTCCGCTGGTGGGGGGCGGCTGGCTTACCTTGCACCTGCGTCTGGTACACGATGAAGTAACTAGGAGTCCCGCAGCTCTCAAACTCCTCCGCGCTGCACTTCTGGGCACAGAGCTGCTCGTCTTCTCTGTCGTGGAGGGGGAACCGGGTGGTGGGGAAGCCACAGTGGCAGGCGGTGCCTGCGAGAGCCGCCAGCGGGTACTCCTGGGATGGAGTGGGAGAGGAAGAGGAAGAGAGTTGCTAAAGCCCTGGGGACAGCCCTAAATTCCAAACGTGGAGCAGGATTGCATTCGACCTTCCCCTTTCCCTTCACCCTCCCTCGACCTGCAAGTCCCCAGACTTCATCAGCGAGTCCCCTTTCCGTGACTTTGTCCCCGCCTGTGCACCTCCAGTACTGTTATTTATTCGTTTCCTTTACGTCGGCTCACTTTTTGAAACTTCAATCTCGAAGGAAACTTTACATGGCTATCACCAGCAGTACTTGTGAACAAGTAGCACTTCCACACGTTCCCATAAACACAAATACCATATAAACAAAGAAAGTCATTAAATTCTGTCTAGGCAAGACTCTGAGCCTGTGGTTGGCTGCATTTTTCCTGCAAAAGAGAGAGAGCAGCTGCGGGTTGAGAGGTGTTAGAGACACTCTAGCTCTGAGATGACGCTTTCTCCTGCAGGACTTGAAAAAGAAATCCCTTTCTCCCTGCCACGCAATGTACTCGCAGTGGGTGGCCCCTTGGTCTGACGGTGACACGGAGCCCACGCCTTGGGAAAAGTTGTCTGAATCTGCTCTTTTAACCCAAAGAGGATGCTGGTGGCTGCGTGTAGCCAGAGCCCTTGACAGGACAGCCAGCCCAGAAAGCTCCATGTGCTCTATCCAACGGCTCAGGGGGACCAGGATGGACTTCAAGATTCAGAGGGCCAGTGACCGTCCTTTGACCAATTTGCTTCCAAACCAGAATCACAGCCCCTAGTTTTCCCTCACAGCTGGTCCTCGGATCCGGGAAGAAACCAAGGTCACAGCCATGTGGCTGGATCCAGCAAAGCTTTGTCACAGCGGGTTTGGTTTCTTCCCGACAGATTTTTAAATACAACGCAAGCCGCGGTGCCTGGCTGGAGGGCAGACAGGGGTGGTGACACGCTGGCGGGGCAGCTTCTTGGGCCGTCACTGATGGCGTTTTCTAACCAGTGACACATGTTGGAGCCTCCTCTGACACCCTCGATCTCAGACCCTCCCCCACTCGGCACACGCAGCTCTGTATCCCTCCCTGTTGAATGGCCCGGGTCTCTCTCCTCTGTCCCTTAAGGAGAACAGAGCGAACAGGACGAGGGTGGTTTACAAGGGGGACATCCTGTCCAGCCACACACACCCCACTGCTCTCCGGTCCTGCGTACAGTCTGGCTGCTACACCGGCTCGCCCTGCGACCTCACTGTCATTCGCACGGTTATCTCCTTAGTGCAGGGGACAGAATGCAGGCAGATGTGGTCTCTGTCCTCAAGGATGTGGGCATTTGCCAGGGGCCTGCCTGGGTGCTCAGACCGCACCCCAACTCCTGGATGCTCTGGGTCACCCTGCTTGGCCGTTTCTCTCCCTGGGCTCCAACCTGCAGGGAGCCCGGAAGGCTGCGGCACCGTGGCGGTGGATGCTTGCTGAGACGCCCTCCAGGCCGCCTGACCTCTGCACCCCGGGTCACGCAGTTCACCGCCCACAACCAGCCTAGGAGGTTGACATTTTTATCCCTGTTTTCACAGATGAGAAAACCAAAACTCAGGCAGGTGAAGTCACTTGCCCAAGCTCACAGCATAAGCAGGCGACAGACCTGAATTTCACCCTGGTGACTGACCCCAAATGGCTTCCAAGAGCCATTCGAGAGAGGCCAGGCTACCGCAAATCACCAAGCGTTGCCTGTGGGCTTACGGGGTTCCTAAGAGGCATCCTGGGAGGTCAGGGGTCAGGGGTGAAGTTCATGAGATTAAAGGAGGCTTGGCCATCACGTGGTCCAGCTCTCTGGGCAGGAATCCCCCATCCACATGGCATCCTAGCCAGGTGGACATTCCTCACTCCCCAAGAGGACCCTGGAGGAAACTTCAGATCCCCTGGAGGTGGGCGCAGGGGGTGCTGACACATAGTAGGTTCTTATTCAACATTTGCAAGAGTGAATGAAACACCCAACCATCTTTTTGTGGTGGAGACGGGACAGGTCCCCTCTGGACGCTCGAGTAATGAGCTCCCTTCGAGGGAGGGCTGGAGCTCCTTGGGCACTGCGGAGTGCCAGTTCTGTGCCCAGTTCTCTGCTGGGTCCCGGGACAGTGTGCACAGAATGCACGAGGCATGGCCCCTGCCCTTGAGGAGTTCTCAGTCTGGCTAGGGAGGAAGGATACACAGGCAGCCCGCTAGGATCTGGGGCTGACAAAAAGACCCATAGATCACCCAGTCTGACTGTCATCCAATGCCCGAAGTTCCGGACGCTGCCTCTGCCTGGTTTCTGCTTGTACACCTCCAGCAATGGGGAGCTCACTCTGTCCCAAGGTAGGATTGTTCTTGCCTTCGCCTGGAAATCTCACGCTTCTAGGTCCACTTTAGATGTCGCCCCATTCCTGCGCATTCTTCACTACTAGAGCACACTTCCTCAGAGGGGCAGGAATCTACCTCATGTAGTTCCAAGCCCCTGGATCCACTTGCAATGGTCACGTCTATCCCCAGCATCGCAGATGACAGTCAGTGACCTCACCCATCCCGGTGGAGCCTCTCCAGCCAAGCATCCTGTTCCCCCAGCCGTCCCCGGAGCCTGGCCTCGAACTCACCTTCTCCGTGCAGAGGTCCACGCACTTGTCCACGGACATGTTCAGCATGGCGGCCGTCACGGGCAGGGCCAGCGAGAGGTTGCCAGGCCGGCGGAAGCAGCCTCGAAACACCGCACTTCCGTCTGAAGAGCCAGGGGGAAAGGGAGTAGGAGTGAGACCCAGAAGGAGGCAGGCCCAGCCGGGGGGACCGCCTTCTGGAAGGGGCTGCTGTAAGTTGAAGCCCAGAGAAGGCGGGCATCTCACTCAAGGCCACACAGAGAGCCACAGCAGAAAGAGCTGCCTCGCTGTCGGTCCTCGAACAGGTCTGTTCATAGCCAATAAGGTCAATAAATCAAAGACTGCTCTCCTCGACCCTGGCATCTGTGCCAACAGTGCAGGGCCACCTGGGCCATGCTAGTCCCTTTCTTTGCCAGCCATCCTATTGGTCACTTCCTCATCCTCTGGCAACACCCCACTCAGGGAAATGGCATATTCCACGGAGGGTTTTCATGATCTCTCGGGAGAGGGCCGAGCGTTTGAAGATCAAGGGAAGCACATGGTCTAGGGGAGTCACCTGCCCTTCCTCACCAGTACCAGGTACCCCTCTCCCCATCACGACCCTGGGCTTTAAGAGGAAAGGCCTGGGCTTCAGGGGTCTCTACGTCCCTACGACCAAGCACCTACAGGCTGCCAGGGCCTGATATACCAGAGAGACTCCAGCTGCGGAAACTTAATCCAGAAATATTGCAACTGCACAACAGAGAATTTGGTAGCCATTGCTAAATCCAAGAGAAGTCATCCCTTAAGAAAACATTCAGAGATATTAAGCCTTAAGCCAGGTGCACCGGAAGAAGCTGGGGCGAGTGTTTGATTGGAGGCACGTGCTCAGATAGGGGCCAAGAGAGGAGCAGAAGAAGACGGAGGGAGAGAAGGGACGTGATCTCAGCTGGGTCCCGCCTTCAGCCTCCTCCCACAGGGAGCTCTGGAGGGAAAACTGCACCGTGGGGAGTTGGTCCCGCATTAAGGACAGAAGACTGGCCTTGGCCTTGTATGTCTCTGCCTCCAATGTCAGCCAGTTCCTGCCTGTGGGCTGTCCCCTAGGGTGGGATGTCACTTCCTGGGAGAGAGCTGCTTGTTCCTGTCGGGCCAGTGGCCATTTTGGAGAGAAAGGGGCAGATGGGAGCCATTACCACTAACAGCCAAGGGGACTCGGCGTGGGCACCCATAGCGTCCACTGCAGATGTGCACAAAGATTTTATCAACAAGGGTGTCCTCTGTAGCATTTGTGAAAACTAACACGTAAGGGATGAGAAACATCCTAGGTGTCCAACAGTGAGGTTTTGGGCAACTGAGGTACAGAATGACAACATAGCAGAATTCTATGCCCCCACGGAAAAGTAATGGTGTTAAAGGTTATTGTAACCAGATGAAAGATGTGTTCAAAATGCAATGTCCAATAAAAATTGAGAATATAAAGCTCTATTATAAAACATCAATTTTTTAAGAAAATGATTAATCAATATAAATCTCTAGAGAGACATAACACTAACATGTTAATAACCACGATGTCTCTGGATATAGCAGGTGTGATGGGGAAGTTTCCGTGTCAACTTGGTGAGGCCATGGCGCCCAGCTGTTTGCTCTAACATTAGTCTGAATGTTGCTGCAGAGCTATTTTATATGTGCCATTAATACCTACACTTATTAATAGTGGACTTTAAGTAAAGGAAATTAACCTTGATAATGTGGGTGAGCCTCGTCTAACCAGTTGAAGGCATCAGAAGCAAAAGCAGAGGCTTCCTGGAGAAGAAAGAATTCTGTCTCAGATACGCGGTGTAACTCCGGCCTGAATTTCCAGCCTGCCGCCTGTCCTGCAATTCCGGATCTGCCAGCTCCCACCGGCGCGTGAGCCGATTCCTTAAAATAAATCTCTTAATGCATCTACCCATCTTTGCTATTGGTTCTCTTTCCCTAGGAACTCGTAACTGTTCCAGTAGGATTATAGGCATTTTTTTTTATTTCTATCTTTTTGTAAAACTCTTTTCTAACTTTTCCTGCCATGCATATATATTTTTTATGTAATAAAGGCAAATAAAAAATAAAAAAGTGGCCCCTGTTAAATTTTTCGAAAGGCTCATGATGCACCTTTATTTCCCAAATTTTGAGTCGCATGCACCTTCCCAGAAGCACAGCCGTCACCTAACACGAAGGACACCGTTAACGCGACGTGGCTGCGACCACGGGTGCCACTTCTAGAGTTCTGACTCTGTGTCATCCGCTCTGCTGAGTAGAAACAAGCTCATGCCACCTTCTTGAAAACCCTGCAAGGTTCATAGTAAACTCTCATTTTCCAGAAGAGAGAAACGGGGCTCCGAGAAGGGAGGTCACACGAGAAAACCACCGTTAGCACGAACATACAGAGGCTCATCTCCGAAACAAACTGTTAGCCCTTAGAAAAAGCAAAGCAAGTGACGAAAGCCATATGTCTCTCTCTATGGGTGTCTGGGTCTATCGAGAGTGGAAAACCACTTTTTAGCATGCGCATATATATTTATATTTAGGTGCAGGGAGAGGATATAGAATTACTCCCTGAGCAGAAGGATGGAGGGAAGAGGCTTATGAATGGTAACTCTACATTTCAGCTGTCAAAGCCACTCTTGTGATTATTTCTTCCACCTGGCACCTGAAGTTGTTCATTGGGGCAGCAAGCCGGGCAAACTCAGAGGATACTGGGAGTCTGGCTAGATGGCGAATTTCCAGGGCATGCCTTAGACTCATACCCATCTCTTGCTATCTCGACTGTCCCCATCTCTGTCCCCAGCCTGGTGAGAGAGGCGCCAGCAGGTGGCGGTGGCAGTATCAGGAAGCTGCTGACTTGTGTGTGGTCCCTCCGGGCCTCAGTTTCCCCACATATAAATGGGGGAGTGGGGGTTAGACTGTGCAGTGACTCTCACGCCTGCTACCCATGGAACATCTGGGACAGTGTGGGGTCAGCTTTGATCGCCCCCAGTGACTTGGGGCCTCATTGGCACTCGGAAGGCCAGGGCCAGGGATGTGCATGCTCTATAGGGGACAGTCCTCCCCTCCCCTCTCCAAATGAGGAGTCGTCACGTCCCAAATGCCACTAGTGCCCCGTGGAGAAACGCCGCACAGTCTCCCATCCTGTGGCCTGGGGTGAGAGAGGGGAGCCCTGGCAGGTCACCCAGAGGAAGGTTTAATGACGCTGGCATTAACAGAATGTGCCACACGAGGCGAAGGCGGGGCGGGGAGTGGGCATTTGAGCTAAGGCTGGACAGCAGTGGGGTGGGAAGCCCAGAGCAGGGTGGATGGGTGCTCACTTAGCCAGAAAACCCAGTTAGCTGGAGGCTAACTCTGGTCACAGGGCAGCCAGATGCTGGCCTTTCCCTCTCTCTTTCTATTCCACGAGAGTTTGCTCAGTCCCCCCCAATGCAGGCTCCACGAAGGGTATTTTGGGTCCGTATGATCTTCCCAGCAGCCACACGAGGTAGATGCCATGGCTGCGTCCATTTTCCAGATGAGAAAACTGAGGCTCAGGGAGGCTCTCTGGCTTCCAGAGTCACAGAGCTGGTGAAAGACAGAGTGAGATCGAAGCCAGGCTTCTCTGTCCCCAAAGCCCAGGCTTCTTCCAATATTCGTAAGATTCTTATGATTAGAGGCTCATATTAATATTATAATATTGTTGTTCTCGTTACAGCTACCGTGTATCAGTTACGTGCTGACCCCCAGGGACCAGGCTGAGCTGTGCACACGCATGGCCTAACCGTATGCCAGGCACTGTGTAAACCTGGTCTGATGGAATCCTCCGAACTTCCAACCAGGGAGCTCTCATTCTCCGCATGATAAAGAAGAGAAAACAGAGGGTCAGAGTGGGGAAGCAACTTGCCCAAGGTCACGTAGCTGACAGGCAGCAGTGTTTGGATTCCAACCCAGGAATGTCTAAATTCTAAGTCTGCACTCTCCGGGGCTGTCCCTCTTTAAAAAGCCACCACAAGGCCTTGCTTTGGTGCTTCAAAACACTGGGCCACTTATTTCCCCTCTTCCATCCTTCATGGTCACTCCAAGGTCACCTGACACTGGAGTCGGATTTTCTTTAAACAGCCCGAAATGTTCAGATCCTGACCCTGAGTTTCCAGAACCATCTTCAGGTTGTTAACCTGCCTCTTCCCCATCAGAATCCTAAAAGAACCATCCTAAAATCCACCTGGGTCATAAATTGTGGCCAGGAGGGTTGCGACAGGCAGTGGTTTGGGGGTTGGGGACCAGAGGAGGTCCCCTTGGGGCTGGGCAGTCCTGGGTGTCCTACTGGGGTTCCAAGCTCATCACCTCTTATCCTGTAAGTGGGTCCTTCCCTGAGCCCCCTCCCACTACCCTGGCAGGGTCTGAGACCCCAACATAGGACTGTGCAGGGACAGACAGAGTCGTGTCTACTGGGGTGAGGGGCGTTTGAGCACGTGGGAGTGTGTGTGTGTGTGTGTGTCTGTCTGTGCACTAATGGGGGCAGGAGGGGCTGAGCGTGAGGGCAGTCCCACGACTGACACTGAGGATGTTTGGGCAGTGGGACATGACACTGAATGTGTGTCTGTCGCTGTGTGCACAGTGTGTGTCTGGCTGTGCATGCACAGGTATAAGCGACAGCATGTGCATCCGTGTGCATGTGTGCGTCTGTGTTCACGGCAGAGTGAGTACCGATCCACCTGCTTGGACGTGTGGATGCCGAACTCTGAGAACGAAAACGTGACCCCAACAGCCTTGTTTACCTGCACACAGCGGTCTGTCTATGGGGGAACAGAGGTGTGTGTGCAGGTGTGTGTCCACCTGCCCGGCTGTCCCACGCTGGTGGGCATCCGACAGGGGCCGAGCACATCTGCGTGCCTCTGAGAGTAGCCACGTGCTAGGGCAGCAGACCTCTGTGAGGGTGTGTGTCACCAGGGGCGTCTGTGCCCATGGAGACAGTAACCCCAGGGGCTATCTCTAGGTTGCCTGGCAACCAGCTTGCAGAGAGGAGGGCTCCCCATTTCCTAGCAAAGGACAAAGCTGAGCTCCAGCCAACCTCCCACCAGCCTGGCTCAATGCCACCAGGGGTTTGACGTTTCCCAACCATCCCATGGGCAGCCGGCGCCTA